CAAAAATTGTGTTAATATTTGTCCAATGGGTTTTAAAGTAATTTTACAACTCTCACATGCGATCCATGCTAAAATTATTGGAGCCTATAATGCAATCCCTGCTATGCCAACTGTAAACAATGTGATTAATCATAAATTTAAAATGAATAATGCTAGACTTGCTATAATGAAACAAGATAAATAGATGTTTCAAGTAATAGATGCCTTTGCAAAAACTAAAATGATTAAAGGAATATATTTTATTAATGCAGCTATGAAAATATTGCTGTTATTGATGCAAAATTAAGTTCTACTTCTCCATAACTTAGTATTGATTTGGGATCCCCATTGATGAATATCATATCAAATACACCTTAGTCTTTGTGCTCACAGATATTTGACGAAGCAACATTAGGCATACTTGGGTTAGATTCTTAATGCGAAATCAATAAGAATAAAATTTTGGTTAATTTAAGTAACTTAATTTTATTAAATTTTCAATAATTCAACTCATTAAATTAATAATACTTTCATTTTAAAAATATTTTATTCTAAAATAAATAGGTGACTCATCGACAATCATGGAGAATAACTCAATTAATTTTTTGCCAAATAAGCTGCAGTTTATAGATTATACGGACACTTTTATTAACACATTTTATAGAAACATTACTTTCTAAGATTCGCCTGGAGTTCCTTAACTTTAATTTAGCTATAATCACATAGAAAATAGCTGTAACTCTATAAATATAACTCTTTATAGTATTCAAAACGATGCAGGAAGAAAATTTATGAGTCTTAATTGGACTTTAAATCAAATTGTAGGCTCCATAAGCAGCGAGTAGTAAGAAAGTATAAAGAAATATTATTAAAAGCAAGCTAAAACAAAAACACTAGTTTGATTATAGGCCCTAAATTCTTACCACCAAATATTAACATAACAATATAATTTAGTTATTTACTTAAGGTTAACTAAGCTGGTACTTAAATGTTCACAATTATTTATCAAAAATAAAAATTTATAAGAGTCAACTATTAGCAATCTTTGTACC